TCAAAGATCAGCCCTTGAAAATTGGAGTGTATGCCTTAACTAGGCAAACTAATTTTTTTTCAGGAATGATGGAATGAAAGCATTGAGATGCTGCAAAATGATTACACTGCATCTCCCCCTGCCAGCCTCATGGAAGGAGTGGGGTGAGAGATACAGCACTAACCCCTTTCACATCTGCTGTGGAATTAGCAATAGCTGTTGGCTGAGTAGCCAACAGCTGCTACCAATTTACCACTGGCTCTGAGAGGATTAACACTTTTATTTTTGCCTGAGCAATGCTGGTCAGGATTTGACCATGATGCCAAGAGTCCCTGAAGTCAGAATTCAGCCATGACTCTGGAAAAAAAAATATATTTCTTCATTCTGCCGTCCACAAAAAAAAAAAAGGTGCAGGCCTTATTTGGAGGTGTGTGGTATATGGGAAACTATGTTAGGGTGGGTTTTCTTTTCTTTTCTTTTCTTGCTTTGTTTGCTGAAGTGTCATGGTTACAGATTGGATAAGCAGCTATAAACATTGTGCCTCCAAAGTCAGTTTCAGAACAGCTGCCTCCCAGGATGGAGGTGTCTGCTTTTGCAGCGGTGCCGTAGCAAGGGGGGACAAGTGGGATAACCACCCTGGATGCTGAAGCTAAGGGGCACTAACAGGCATTGCCCAGCTGGGGTGGGGTGTGGAACAGAGCTGTGAGTGGATTGTTTGGGGGGGCATGGGGACAGGGGGAGGGTGGCTCCCACCAATGCATAAGCACTTGGGGGCAGAGGGAGCATATGCTCCCTGGATCTGTGCACAGGGCTAGAGTATAGCTGTTCCTGTGGGCTGTCCCAGGTGCCAAACTTCCTTGCCATGGTATTGCTTTGTAGTATGCAAATATAACTTTAAAGAGTTATCAATGGTATGATAGTATAAACAGTTTCAAGAGTTATCAAAGGTCATCAGAAGTAAGTAATAAATTGAGTTTCATCCTAGTCTCTGTGCACATATGTAAACCTACCAGGAGATGACCTTTGGAATATATGAATATTTTTGTCCTCATTGAACCCAAACAGATGAGGCAGCTGCTTAGTACCCAGGCAGAAATTTAAAATGTGGGTTGGAATCTCAGCAAAGAGAATTTGCAGTCCAAGCAGGAGGCAATGTTAGGTAATATGAATGCAAGGCAGAAATCAAATTCAGCAACCTGAGCAAACAAAGCTGCATGAGAATGCATATGTCTAAACTAAAGGAAAAAAAATAGTCCCAAAATATCAGGCCTAGTCTAATATGAATTAACTACAGACAGAACTCTGAACTGATAAATTGTTAATGGTTGAGGTAGGCTACTGATTTATTAAGTGTTTCCCAAATCTGTCCATTGCTCCACTTTACTTTGACCCAAGATAATAAATACATTTGTGTAAGACCCTTAAACTGAACTTTGTTCTTGTTACTGCTCTCTTGTGCCTAGAAAAATGGTTACATTTTGTTACATTATATTTGACAGCTTCCACTCTTCCATCAAACTGACTCTGAAATACTATTCCCAGCAATTTGTTTCTTGGATACCACTGTGAAAGTTTTCAGTGGCCAGCTTACCACCACATTGTATAAGAAATCAACTGATCACTATAGCTATCTCTAAATCAGCAGCTCTCATTTTAAGCACATGACTATATCCATTGTCTACAGTCAAGCTCTATGCTACAATAGTATCTGCTCTGATCCCATTGATCAGGATGCACACTTAAAGGATCTTGAGTACAGTACCATCCTAAAACAAGCCACTCAATCAACAGAGCCAGATGCAAACCCCACTCCAATCTACTACAATAACAACTCCAAGAGAAGAGCCACTGAATACCTTCTGCTGTAACCTCTAGCCCCCAGCCTGAACACCTGAGACACATCAGTAATGACTTCCAACCCCTCCTGGAAAGCAACAGCCATCTGATAGTAGCCATGGAGGGTAGCCCTGTCTTAGTTTCTCCTCCCCAACCTCAAGCGCCATTTCTCTAGCAACGGATTTCCTAACTCCTATTCCCACCAAGGCATCAGACTTTGCTCTGGACCCAGATGCCAGCTCTGCCCCCTCATCATCACAGACCACATTATCACTGGCCCAAACAACATGGATTATATCTTTCAAGGTTCATTTACTTGCACCACCACCAAAGTCATTTAGGCCAACATTTGCTGTCCCCTCTGCTGTCTACATAGGACAGATAAAATGATCCCTACATATAAGAATGAATGAACACTGATCTGACATCAATACTAGAAAGGAAGACAAGCCAGTGGAAGAAAACTTTTATCTATTTGAACATTTCATTGCTGACCTCAGCAGAAACAGGGAATTGCAGAACAAGAAATCATCCCCAGTCTAAGTTGTGCTATACAAGGTCTAAACCAAAGCTATATATTCTTATTCCATTATCTGGATTAGGTTTTATAAGCCCGTGTCACTCAGTGGGTTAACTACTTTGTTTTTCTGTCTCCTACCCACCTTGCCTTTCTCAGCAGCGCCTCCTCCTTTTTACTCCACTTCTTTCTCCACCTTTTGAATTCCAATCAGTGCTTTCTATTTAGCAGCTCTGCTTCCTGCAATTCCTTCACAGCATCTGATGAAGTAAACCCTCTGCTAAGGAAAGTTTAGGCTATATATGTCTGATTTAGTTCATCTATGAAGTGCAAATCTACCCTGCCTTCTGCTTAATTGTAGAGGACCATGATAGATTTGGAACTGTGTGTAATAATTAATGGATATCCTATGCTTTATATATAGCTAAAGGGACAATTATTACTTTATCCTGACTTATTATCATAGTGGTTAGTGCATTCATATATTGACATAATTCAACTGGACCTGCTTACATGACAGGCTTTCGGAGAACACTTGGGACTATCAATTTAATGTTGTTGTCCCGAAGCTCTACTTAGCTGCCTGAACCAATTTAATCCAGCCCAGAAAATGGAGAAGAAGAATAAGATTTAAAGACATTCTCAGATAGGGACAGCTAAGGGTTTCAGAGTCTGTAGTATGTGTATTAATATAGACTTATTTAGGATTCCAGTTAAAATGTTAATATACATTTTTATAAACGTTTTGGTTATTTAAGCATCCTTTTCATTTAGGTTATGCTTTGTTCTGCTGTTAAGATTAAACTATACTTGGCTTTATGAAGACAGATTTGGTTTACTGTAGTCATGACTGCTTACAAGTTCAAGGGTGGGTGGTAGGAGACATTCTTTAACCTGTGTAAGCTCTTGGGCTAATACAGTTTATCTAGACCATACTGTAGACTAGACTGAATGGCTTCCACCCCAAAAAATTAAGGTTGTAAAGTTTCAGAGAACAAAATTTTGACAATATAACAGAAAGTTCAACAATACAGTATTTTTTTTCAGGAAACAGAAGAAGCCATACATTTTGGCCAAACCTCCACTTTGCTGACAGAGGAAAGCTGGAATGATGATGCAGAAATTGTTGCTCAATACACATGAGAAGTATGAGGGCAATTTTAAGTTTACACATAAAATGAAAACAGAAAGGGTAGATTTAGTATGAAACATGCTGTTATCAGGAAATTCTGCAGTGTTTAGTAAAAAAGGTCATGCTTCAGGAAAGCACTGAAGCACGCTTTAGTTTCAACTGATTACCTCTGAAAATGAAGAGGAGGAGCCATAAGGAAACACTGTAAGGAGGGAAATATGTGGTAAAGCTGTGAAAGTATTCAAACAGAATGAATCTCAATAAAGACTATTAAAGACTTAAATATGAGCATGTAGGTAGAGAAGGACACTACATTGTACTTACATTTCAAATGAACTACAGCCATCTGTATTGCAGCAGGATCAAATGCAGACATGTAATAGCTGGTTTCACTGACTGTTCTTATTCATTATTTATTTAGCTGCTTCATGTTTACTAAATACGCAAAGGTGACAATATACAATTACCTTAATTTAATTAATCTAATCACATAGCAAAATCAATTGTTTCTGAAGGGATCTTAGAGTTTTACATTCAGCATTTTTCGGAAAATGAAGCTATAATATATTAAACTTTTTGGGTTTTCATATTTATTTATATGGTCTTTGTAACAATACAAAAATACTATATTTTAAAGGGAGATACTCTATAGATAATATCATTTACACACACATACATATATATGACTCGGTCTTCTTTCCAGTATAGCACATTATTCTTATCTTTCAATGTGTTTTCTGTTATACATTTGAAAGAAAAATGTCATATAAATCTGTTTAATTAGAAATTATTAATTAGCAGTAAAACCCTGCAATTACTTCATTCAACTTATTTTTCAGCTTAATGTACTGCCAGTTCCAAAGAATTTTCTTAGGAGAAAATTTGCAAACACATTAAAAATTTTATTATGGCTTACCGATGAGTAGTGTCTGTATTAATAATAATACAATTATGTCTCATTAAAACACTAAGTAGTAATAAATGGAAAAAATGAAGCTGCCTTGTCTAATCAGAGCTCAGGATTATCATTAGCTGTGTTAGACTGGAAGGCCAATGGTAAAGGGCAAATTGCAGCAGGTTTTCACTGCACTACTGAATAAATAAATAAAGCAAAATATGCAAATTCCAGGTATATTAGCATTGGTTCATCTAGTTTAATCTCAATGTATCCTAGAATTACTTTATTTAATATTATTAAAATTAGGATGTCTGAATGAACACATAGAAAAATGCCAATGGCACTGAACAATCTGAGACTCAAGTCTCACCTAATAGATATACAATTATTTCATGAATTTTAATATCAGGAAACTGTTGATTGTATAGTTAGGGATTGAGATTTTCCTTACATTATTCCCACAAAATTCCTTAGGGTTTGCGTTTGGCTCTTACCTGGTGAACATAAGAATACCTATAATGGCTCAGCTCAAATATCCATGTAATCCTATATCTTTTGTCTGAACCAATGGACAAGCATTATATTTTTATACACACTTGTAATGCCACAAAAAGAGAGCGTAAAGACATTGAAGTTTTTCACAGACAAAACTGGTAGTTCCATAAAGAAATATTAGCATTTTAAAACTTCAAATTCTTGTCAGCAAGAAAATGTCCAGTGCCTCATATAAAATTTGTCTACAAACATGGAGCACCAGAGGACATGCTCCTGTCCTCCAGCACCCCAGCTGTATTCCTAGTTCCTTCCTTCCTCCATGGCTCCAAGTCTGCATGGCATCCCAAAATATTCTGCTCCAGGGAGGTGGAACTGGGCTCACAGATTGCCACATAGTCACACTGTTCAGCTCTGTCTTTCTTTGTAGAAAAGATAAAGTGCTTCCTGTACAAGGAACACGGCAAGAATCCACTTCCTAGACCCACTTTGCCACCAAAATTATCCGTTTCTGTTGCACCTCTGGCATTATGTATAAGCTAGGCTGGAGGAAGGGTATCAAGCTGGGGGTTATTTCTGCCTAGTCTTGAACTATGGACATTTGTAAGCAAATGCAATAGCTGTTATACTACAGAAAACAAAGGTACTTCAGAAAATGAGGTCATCATTCAAGAACTTGTGGGTGTTGAGTTTGTCTCTGGTCCTTCAAAAGTCAGCTCTCAGCTTCTACAAGTATCAAATGCCAAGGTTTGGCCAAAGCAGAGACCTCTCAACATATCTTTTGAAGTAGAGGCAACATCAGTCTTGTGGCATGGTAGCAGAGCTAGGAGATGTGTATGTACTTGGTGCAAAGACTGGTAGCTGTAATTTGTAAAAAAAACATTGCTGGGATGAAAGTGAGTCCTTGCAGCCACCTCTTCTGAGATGGAGGCAGTGCCAAAGCCCTCCCCCTGCAAGTGACATGCTGGGAATTAATGGGGCAGGTGAATCACAGGGCCAGCACCCACTGCAGAGCCAAGGACATCTCCTGTATTGCATCTTCCACTTTTATGTTCTACACCAAACTGGTTGGTGAACTGTATGCTGTGTGGTAATGCCCTTGGTCATCTAAGGGTCTTACATGGCATTACACATCAGCCTGACAGGAGCTAAATGAATTATCTGTAAAAGACAACTTTGATTCTGTGCTGGTAGGACTGTGGCAGGCAGCTGCCACATTAGACTTAAAGAAATCCCAGATATTTTTTTGATTCATTTTCCTAAATTCCTCATTCCTCATGACTTCAGTAACTAGTTCCCATAGTTTGTCAAAATGTATCTTCTGGAGATACACACACACACACACACACACACACACAACAAATAACAACAACATTAACTATAGGCCTGTTTTGTCCCTCCACTTATTGAGAGTGAATCAACTGATGACCCGGGTTATTTTCCATGGCATCTTATTTACTTTCCTTGGTGGGTGTTGTTCCCCAGGCAGCCATCCAATCAAGGCTTTCCTCAACTGTCCTTGGGAATTTCTGTAGATGGGGACCCTCAAAACACATTGGGATCTCTGCACACTGGCCCTCTGCTTCAGATCGTCACCAGTACAGGCTGTCTTTCACCATTCTCTATGATGCTCTGGATGACTGCACATTTCAAATCCTTCATTTCCTGCCATGGTTTATGGTGCTGCAATTCTTAGTGTTACAAATGATTGTCTGTTCATGCCCTGACAGTGCTAAGGAGCAGATGCTTTAGAAAAAGAATATCTGAAACAGGGCATCTGTAGAATCCAATCTCACTTTTCATATAGGTGCATTTATAGGTTGAAGGACATCATAAGCCTGAAATTACATCCTTGGGTTTTAGGCCACTAAGGCATTAATACAGTTAAAAACAAAATCAAAGGCAGGTTATGCTGGAAAGTTGAGGGTATCACTGAAGCTTGTATATTCATTCAGGCTAAATATAAAAACAGTCAAACTCCTTTTGAGGAACAGATAGTTAAAACAATAGGAGCTAATAACCAAGCAGAGACATATGACAAGTAGAAGGTGAAGAGATGTGTTTTAACAGGTTGCCATGGAGACAGAGAGAGCAAATTCAGGGTTTGGTGCATGCATTTCTGGGGCCATGGGGGAGAAAAACCGCAGCCACAAATAGAA